AGAAAAATTATATATTACAAAAACAATTCTGGCAATTTCTAGCTCATAAAAATGATCTAATAAATCTAGTAAAAAAAATATGAGCAATATACACGTTACATCATCTGCTATACCCTTGGTATATTCTAGGATTAAAGCTTCAGCCCACAATCTATCATGGTATTGAGTAACATAGTACCCTCTGATATGTGCTGGGCATCGTCCACAAGCAGAGGCTGTAGGTTTTCCGCAATCAGAACATGGTACTTATTTTTTAGCTTTCCAATAAAACTGACATCCTTCAGACCTAGTACTAGTATTCCCACAAGCCTTTCTGGTATTGCAGAGAAATAGACAAGAATATTTGCCAATCATCCTACTTTTTTATTACTAGATTCGAAAAGATTAATTAATAATTAGTTAATGCTTCAGTTTTGCAATAGCTAGAATCACTTTAGAAAGCTTGTAAATACTTATTATCGGTTTTCACTAGGGTTTATATAATTGAAAATTGATAAGTGCATATAAAATAATTAATTAAAGAAAAAATTTTATAAGTAAGTAATAGTGTAACAGTTAGAGATAACTAATATACCAAATATCTGATACTTACCCAGAATATATAGAAGAATTTAGTATAGAAATAGCTGATTTCAATTCAATTAGACCTACTGCCTATATACCTTTGCCCAAAACTTTGCCAAAACATAATAATGAAATTATTAATATTCAAAATGATGATGATTGGTATTTCAGGTGGAGTGTTCTGGAAGCTTTGTATCCAGTTAAAGTTCATTCAGAAAGAAATCCACATCACCTATATGGAGGTTTCGTGGAGGAACTTAACATGGATAATATTTCAATTTCGGTACCGGTCTCAACACCAGTTTATAAGAAGTTCGAAGAGAATAATCCAGAGATTAGCCTATATGTTTACAAGTGGCACAACCAGAATGAATGTCTTGACTTTCGTTATGTCTCAGAGAGAAGAGAAGAAGAATACAAACCTGTTAATCTTTTGGTGATTACAGAAGAGGATAAAAACCACTACTGTATCATCAAAGACCTTCACAAATTAGTATACAATCATAGTAAATATAAAGGAAAAAAATACTTTTGTCGATATTGCTTTCATGTATATTCAGCAGAGAAAGGATACAAGGAACATTTGCCGAAATGCAAAGGTTTGAACAATGCTCCTTAGCGACCACAAATGCTAGTAAAAAATAAGGCTATTAAAGCTTTTTATAATTATAAATGCATACAACCCAACCCATATCATATTTTCTGGGATCTAGAAATATTAACCGAAAAGTTAACTCCAGAAGAGAAAACAAAGTTAACTCATACTGAAAGATTACAGATACACAAACCATGTAGATACTGCTATATAATAGTTCGCATAGACAGTTCACTTAATTATGAGGTTGTAAGTCATAATCTATATAGAGGGACAGATGCCTTAGAAAAATTCGTTGAAAGAATTGAAGAAGAGCTTCTAAATATTCAGGCAGATTTATCCGTACCTGCAAAAATGATAATGGCAACAGGAGATCTTAGAGCATACAATGAGCCGACAGAATACTAGATTTGCAAGGGACCTTTTCTAAAGCCATCACAAGAAGTATTACAAAAATTTGAAGAAGCAAACCATAGATTGCTAAAACTTAAAGAATGGGAAGCTAGTATGGAAAAGGATCACCCAGAAAAGAAAAAGATACAAAAAAAATACCATGAAGCTTTAAGTTCTCTTAACTACAAGGTAAAAGATTATGATCATATAAGTGGTAAATACCGAGGCCCAGCTCATGACTCTTGTAATAAAAAGTTGCGTATAGGCTCTTTCGAAACTAAAGTGCCCCTTATCTGTCATAATTTCCGAGGGTATAACTCTCATCTGCTTATAAAAGTTGTAAACAAGTTCACGGCTAATAAGCTAAATTGTATCCCAGAAAATATAGGAAAGTATAAGGCTATGGATGTAGGTCAGCTCTGATTTCTTGATAGTTTTTAGCATATGGGAATAGGTCTTGATAAGTTAGTAGAATGTCTAGGAGGAAAGCTTGAAAAATTTTCTCTAACTGTAAAATACTTTACAGAGAAAGGCTACTCAATAGATAAGATCAAGCTTCTTTTCCGAAAAGGAGTATTCCCATATGACTGGACAAGATGCAAAAATAGGGTATATACTTGAAGTTGATCTAAAAGCCCCAGTGCACTTGCATGATTACTTTGCAGATTATTTCTTAGCACCAGAAAAGCAGATAGTACCAGAAAACTGGCTTAGTCTATACAATGAAATGTTAGTGCATGATAAAAATGTTGGAGAAGAGAAATATATATCTGGAGAGGAGCTAGTTCAGACCCTTTTTACTAAGAGAAATTATATAGTTTACTACCAAGCTCTCCAGACATATATGAAGTTCAGAATGAAGGTTACAAAAGTTCATAGCGCTCTCAAGTTTAAACAATCTCCGTGGATGAAAGAATATATTGAGGAAAATATTCGCAAACGCAAAATAGCCAAGGTTAATGGAGATGAGTTTGGGGTTATGTATTATAAGCTAAAAAATAATGCTGCCTTTGGTAAACAGATGGAGAATGTTCGTAAGCATATGAGAGTAGAGTTACTCCGAATAGAAGAAGATAAAAAAATTAAGCACTTAGCAAGTTTGCTATTATTTGTAGGTTTCAAGCAATTCGAAGGAAGAATTACAGCCGTTCACATATTAAAAAGCACAGTAACTCTAAATAAACCAATCTATGTAGAGCAGGCAATTCTCAATATTAGCAAGACCATGATATTAACTTTTGGTACAGTTACATAAAGCCTCGCTATGGAGATAAGGCCCATCTACTTTATACTAATACAGACTCGTTTATCATGTGGATAGAAACAGATGATATCTATAAAGATTGAGCAGAAAGGCCAGACATTTTCGATCTTAACTATTCAGAAGACTTGTTTCTAATGAAGGATGAGACAAAAGGAAATCCAATAGGCAAATCAGTATATTTAAAGCCAAAAATGTATTCAGTTCTTCTAGCAGATCATGATCCTAAAACCCTGATGACCCAGATTCTGAAGACCCTAAAAAGAAGCATGAAATACAAAAAGCAAAGAGTGTAAAGAAATGCGTAGTTAAATGAGAACTTAGATATGATAAGTTCTTAGAATATCTTAGGAACAAGAAACTAACCCGGTATGATATGTATGGTCTCTGTAGTTATGATCATCAAATATATCTGAGAGAGTAAATAAAATCAGGTTAAACCTATATAATAACAAATACTGGATCTTACTTGATGGAATTCGAACCCTCCTCTATGGATATTGGCGAATTGGAATATATAAACGTCTAGTAGTATCTGAAATAGTTCCCAAGAAAGCAGAAGAAAGAGCTATGAAAGCTAGACTTCATTTTAAGAAATAGATGCTTTATAACAAATATTTTTTGGATAAAAAAATTATTAAAGAATGCTATAACTAATTATAAAAGTTTTTTTAATATTATATTAGAAACATACAAAGTCTTAGTTAATAAAATCCATGTGTTAAACATGCCTAATATTCAAGATATTTTTGAGGAATGGGAAAAAAATAGTTATACTCGATACATGTTATCTGAATATGGTTTAAACTATATCAATAATCTAAAAACACCAGAAGCATAGTTACGATTTGCGAAGTATCATCCACTCGAATATATATGAAGACATTTATTAATACTAGGATATAATATTAATAGAAAGGTTCATTGGAGAAACTTTGTATTTCATATTAAAAATAATTTAACCAGAAATGAATCTATAGCCAATAACTCTGAATTTAGAGAATTTAAAACCCAAGTAACATATTTCCTAACTTTGTATATAAAAAATCGACCGGCTATTATTATCCAGCAAACATATCGTTTATAGAAAAAACGAATAAATTCAGCTAAAATAATCTAGCACACAGTGAGAAAATGGCTTTATCGACCAGGTGGCACATTAATGAAATGTGCCCAAAATTGGTATTATCAAAATGCTAATAAACTTGAGAATTGCCAGTAGATTAAGTGATTTTGGGTTTTCTGTCCAAATCGAATTATCATTGCTTTATTTCATCTGGTTAACATATTACTAATTTGTAAATCATTCACGATTGCTAGTAGATCGATTGGTCCTTGGCTTATATTAAATAATTCATAAATAAATAGATCGCTAAATCCAAAATTAGTATCTAAAATTATTTTTTTTTAGTCATAAAGAATATACTATAAATAAGCTAAATATAAAGAATTTTATTGTAAAAACTTATCTGTACTTGCTTCGCTGATATCATCATGTCCCTTGCTAATCTTCAAAACCTTGCTCTTAATATTTTAAAAGAAACAAAACATAGTGTGGTACAAAATATTGACGTTACGGAATTGCCACCATGTAAAACATGTAATAAAAAAATTTTAACAGTTAACTTTGAATCACTTACAATACTTTCATGCGGTCATATATATCATAGAAAATGCATTGAAAAAAATTTTTTACTTACAAAAGAAAACAAATGCTTTATTACTGAATGCGAAAAAACTATTGATCCTGTAATATTTGAATGAAGGTTTTCTGAATCATCTCAGTCTAGTAAAACTTCGGCTATTGCAGATATGTTAGACAATAATCTTGGATTAGATTCACCAGTATATACATCACTATTATTAGGCCAGAAAGAGCCCTTAATTAATGAGACTACCCAGAAAAAACATACTAGAGAATCATCCACATCTGCATCTACCGAAAAATCGTCTAGCAAGAAGGCGAAAAAAACTGATAGAAAGAAGGTATCATCTATGTTAAAAAAACTTATCGAAGAATTATTAGCTAATACACCTGTTCCCACTATTGGAGAAAACTTGGAAAAAGCAAATGAAAGCACAACCAATATTTTTTTGCAACTCTCCAATAAGATTGATCATGCTGAAACTAAAAACGAAGGTGCATCCCAAGGTCTTATTTTCAGCTATTTTGATTTTGGAGAAGCTGTATTTAAATGATACAAAGAATTAAAATCCGAATATGGCAAGGATGGATCTCAAGTATTGGTCAAGAGTGAGGTTAGAGAAGCGATTCCTAAGGCAAAATATTTTGACGAAGCTTTGCGGAAAAGGATGGAGAGATCTGAAAAGGTTTATAAGCTTTTTAATAGTATAGATAAAAAAAAATAGCACGGATAAAATCCACCCCTCCAGGTTTCATCTTAAATCTAACTAAGGATAAAAAGGATTATGTAATGGCTGAAATTTTAAAGAAGAAAGTTTGATAGTGTACTGTGCCATTTCTTCTGTGTAATTTTGACGAGCTCGAACACCGTGTCCAGACTCTACCATCAGAAAAAATTGTATTTAAACATATATTAATAAAGCATTTCCTATATCAGGTTTTATTTTAAAGCGTGTTCTAGTGATCACTACCAAATGTAATATAATGTACTTTGCCAGAAAATAATTTGCTACTTCCAATAAGATTTCGATGACTAATTTGCTGTCTACTGCGGCATGTAATTTATTCATTTTTCTGTGCAATTTTGACGAACCCGGACACGGTGTCCAGACTCTACTATCAGATGTGAATGTAAAAATTTTCGAATAATTAACGTTAAAATCTGAATTAGTGATAATGATACCTAATTTAAGCAAAACTTATCGTTATATATAATTTGTCCACGTTCATTAGTGTAATAATTCTGCATATAAAATTTATCTGTATCACCTTACAAGGCTTATCGTTATGCATAACTTATTTGTGAGACGGGGCACAATCTCAATGTGCTATTTTTCATTTTTTGGAATTAGTACCTAACCAAAGTCGGTCAATTAACTCATACCATCTATTCTTGAGAATTTACTCCAGACCATAAAGTGCTACACATTACAGGTTTATATAATAAAAAATTTTATATAGCCACGTGTAGATTATTTTTTTTGTTAATATATAACAATGAAAGAAAACCAAATTTACTTTGAAAAGTAGCATATCTATAGAGAGTGGAAGCACAGGTGTAAGGTTTGTGACGAATGCAATCATTATTCATACCTATATTACAAAACATGCAAAAAAGTAGCTGATGGAATATATAGACGATGTGAATATAATCAGAATTAGCGATTTTGGTAGCCTAGATTAATATAATTATCTATATGAACGGAATAAAATGAAATGAATTGGCGGATGATAATGACCGATGCTAAATAGGCAAAGCCTGGGTCTATGACCCAATCGACCAATAAAGAATCCCCGCCAATTCACTTCATTTCATTGTTGAGATAAACATGTAATTCAAGCAGGAAAAAATAATGATATTTATTCGGACATGAATTTGTGAATAGATAGGCAGATAAGTGTGTATATAAATCAATAAAAGCGACCTGGTGGCTGATTTTGCATATATAATTGGATTTGCTTTTGCACACGTGTTTCAAGAATTTGATATAGATTAAACTAACATGATTGTTTATGCTAGTTCGAAAATTAAATAAATCATCTTTTACTGTATTACTAAAAATACAATCTGAATTAGATTTATTAGAAGAGAAGGCTAAGGAAGTCACACTAACTGAGCTTAAGGCTAAGAATGCAGAACTTATGGTCGAAAAAGCCAATCTTGAGGCTAAAAATGCAAAATATATAAAGCTTAAGGATGAGACTGCAAAGCTTAAGACCGAGAATACCAAACTTTTAACACAAATTATAGAGAAATATGCTAAAAATAAGGCTGATAGAGTAAAATTAAAAACTGGTTTGCAGTATCCAATCCTCTTTGAGCATATTAAGATGACAATTCTTGAGCTTGAAGCAAGGAATGCAATATTAAGACCAATTATAGAAGAATTTGCGAAGAAATCGGAATATAGCCACCTCGTAACTGTCTTTGACAAGAAAAATCGCAAATTCCAAGCTAAATATGTCAAAATAGCTGTGGACATTCTTAACGAAAAACCAATAATTAAATATCATCCTCCTTTCTTGAATAGATTGGAACTTGATGCCTTCTTTCAAAAATATCAAATCGCATTGGAGGTGCAAGGAAGTCAACATCAGCTTCACAGCACTAGCTGGTATAAGGATATCAAAAGATTTGAGGATATTGTTGATCGTGATCGGAAGAAAAGATGCCTTTGTCAGCTTAATGGAATTTTCCTACTTGAAGTGTGATACGATGAAAATCTGGAAAAGGTCATTCCGGAAAGAATACAAAAAATTAAAGACTTCATTAATCAAGCGTTTAAAGTTTTCGATCTATAATCAATTCATAATATATAACTTAATATCTATGTGTTTAATATACATGCATATCTTATATATGTAATTTTTTTCATTATTTAATATATTAGTATCTGTTAACTTTAATATACGATTTTTTATTTCAGCATAAAATGCATAGGGCCTAAAGCATTCAAGAATTTTTGCTTCTCCGATTTATCTTTTTCTGAACAATGTGAAGAAAAAGGCCTATCATGTTCGAAGCCAAATCTGATTCAGAGTTAATTACCAAATCCGTGTTAACGTTAGAGCATTTCACATACTTGAAATTCAGAAATAGTTTTAGAGGGATTGATAACTATAATTTTGTATCTGCTCAGCCGTGGAATTCGCCATGCCCGATTTGCGATGGAAAACATGGGAATTATGGATTGCATGGCGAATGGTATAGAAATGGAACAGAATATTGTCTTACCTGCAACAGTTCAAGCAATAAATTCAAGTTCGCGATCATAGTATAGTTCGGTCATATGAGATAAATCATCACAGAGATATTCGGTAAAAGTTCTTGCCAAAAGTCTTTTTCTACTAAATTTATTTTTAAACCTGATAATATTGAATAGAGATAAGTCGCTTACTGCGCAAGAATTACTGCGCCCCAACGGAAATAATAACTTGTGTGACCGCTCATCGAATAAATAAACCCCATATTAATCATATTGTAGCACAAACCTCGGTTATCACTACGCTTTTATTTTTTCCCATGCTCGTCAGATACATCAGGGCGACCGTGCTTCTCAGGAGAGCCAAACTACAAACATGGCCGTCGCTTATACATGACGGTTGTGCACCGCAGGCTCGCCACACCTATACCTACTCAGATACCAAGGATGCCCTGAAAACTGGAGTAAGAAACGTAAAAGAGAGTATAAAAGAGGGCGTAAAAACGGATTTTGTATTGTACCTTTTTGTTCTTGTGATCAATATGTTCTTGTTCTGACTTACAACCTGGCAATGTTAGTCCGCTTGGAAGATTATAAAGTGGATCGCCACTGGGATTGTTACCAGCGCTGGCTTAGTATTATTCGATCTCAGCTTCGCCAACTGGTACAACCGCCGGAATGAGAGGATTATTCTTCATGCCTTTGAACATGGTTCCTGTCCAGAACCTGATGTTATGCAGAAACAGCTGATTTACCGTGAGGTTGTTATCAAGAAACTGAGACGAATTCTAGAGCCGATCTCTGACCATAGCTCTTACCACGTCGTTGTCGGGAACTACGGAACTGGTAAGACCACAGTGGTCCGGCAGTGTGCTAGAGATGTTGGAAAAGGGGTCATTTATGTTGATGTACCCCCTGTATTGGATAACTTCATTGATAAACTTGCAAAGGCTATTGGATATTCATTCAAGGAGTATGTGTCCTTCACTGAATCATTTAAGCGGAAGATTCTAGGCAATAGCGAGTCCGGTAGGGTTATTATAAAGAATTATTACTGGTGTTTGCTCTACACTCACTTCTTGTTTTATAGCTGAACAGCCCAGGTTTTTTCGTGTCCTGGATGCCTTCGAGAGAGGAGCTAGAAAATACAAGGTAAATAATAGCAAACCTCCAGTGTTGATCCTCGACAACATAAGTAAGCTGGGCCAGGAAAATGTGAACATGTTGAAGGATTTGCAGGACATCGCAAAACTCTATGCTGACCAGAGCAGTTGCATCATTGTATTTGTCAGTAGCGAGGGAACAGCGCCACGCATGATGATGCGTGAGTATTGTATGATATAATTTGTCTGTATCTCGTTTCTTGTTGATGGTTTCTTTGCTCTACTCTAGAACGATCATCATGGTCACGCGCTGAAAAAAAACCCATTGTCATCGAAGACCTAACTAGCAAAGAGGCATTCACCTACCTCCACAGCAAGCTTGGCATTGAGAAAAAGGTCACCAATCAACTCATCCAACTCTTAGGTGGCCGGATTCGTGATCTTAAGGAATATGGTAATATGATAAATAGAGGCGAGACATTCGAAGGTGAGAGAGCATTTACTATCTGGACAATGATGATGGTATTTTGCAAGAATGTTGTGTGAACGTTCTCATCATACTTAATATTTTGCTTTTAGAGGTTCGTAAAATTGTGCTCCGTGCCGTCAATCACAACTTTCACCAGGCTGAAATGTTGGAGGGCGAAAGAAATCATGTCATTGGCAAGGTCATCGTCCAAGAGTTGGTGAAAAATGAAAAAATCGATTTTGATACATTCATCAAGCTCGTCAATAACAAACAAATAGCCAATGAACTGCTACAGGCCAATGTTTTCTCATATAACCCGGAAAGCGGAACTGTCACCTTCCAGTCTCGCGCAACTGAAGTTTTTGTGAGAGAGAGACCAGAATTTTCGTTGAAAGGATTTAGCTAGAGGTCGAAAGGAGTTTTCACTTACTCAACAAATGTATAGTCTTACATTTTTTATATTTTCGTCACTTTGAAGCAATAATAGTAATATCAAATAAAGTTCACCTGAATTGGGACCCCCGGGTAGCTGGAAAATATTTATTCACAATCATGTAATAGCGTATAGTCGCATTTTATATGTATTAGTTGCTACTTTCGGCAATGATTTATTTCGTTAAATAAAGTATTGTATACTGGGAATGAGGCCACGCTTGTGGTGGTATAGCCACTCAGCTACCAAAGGTTTAATATCTTCTAAACATGTATGGTTGGTTATCTGCGCTTTTGCTGAACATCACGTAAAATAATTCGCCAAAACGGTTAGATCATCCCAAAATCCTTTTTGAAGGTACTGCGCCGTTTCTTCTGCGCGAGCCCGGACACCGTGTCCAGACTCTACCATCAGACAGTCATATGCACAGCGCCTTCGGGAGATAAATTTAACCTAACGCTGATCCCATGCTTACATCAGAAAAGTGTAGGTTTCGGGAGATAAATTTAACCGGATGTTGATTGCAAAGCATGCAAAAAAGTAGCGGACGGAATATATAGGCAATGTGAATGTGAAAATTCTCGAATAATTAAAAATAAATCAGAGTTAACGGTTTGATATAATAAAAATTTTGTTATTTTATAGCACCTTTGGTACTAGCTCTGCTATTAATCCATTAAAATGCCTACAGGATTAAGACTTATTTATCTTCAGAAGAGATTTATCTTCAGAAGAGATAGCCCCTACGGGGCGATAAATTTTAATATTTTTATCAATTTACAATCGCGTAAAAATAAAAAATGGTGGGATCCAACCCCCTTCTTTATTTAAAAAAAAATTGTTGCCGGAACAACAATACACCAATAAAAATATATTTTTATTTATATAATAAAAAAATACATCGCTGTTACATAATGCGAATACAAGAAAAAAATATTATTCCTTTGGTTTTACGATAATATGAACTTGGTCTGGATCAAAAGTTCCATTTTTAAAATAATCAAATATTTCGGCCGTCGAATTCTTAGGAATAATAACATAGAGATCAGAATCTTGATGACCTTGATTTTTCAACAAACCCTCAACGCCTCGTTTAAGCACTGCAACCTTATCTTCCTTGCATATCTGAATAGTAATATGGTTGTCATCCGGAAAAAGGCACTTAAGGTTAATAGGATTTGCGGTGGACATTTTACGTTTCTAAAAGCAAAAAATGTAAGTAAAAATTCATTTTTCTTAGTCTCTGTTAAATGGTACATTACTTTAAAAATAAATTACGGGCAAGTGAACCAAGTAAAAATATATATGAGCAAAAAATAACGTTATTGCTAACTTATCTTGTGGGTGGGAACTTGTTTATTTTATACTTCATATTCGTTGGGTCTGAGAACCTGCCAGAAAGAAAAAATACACAATTAGTAATTACGTTACCCAAACCTAGCACCAGTTTTTTCTCCATAAAGCAACTCTGTTCGGTTATAAGTTCTAAATACTGAATCTATATCGTTATTTTTCTGGTGAAATTAACCCCCCTTAGATTTGACGATCGCTTAAGGTAGATTTAGATCTGACGATCTCGGAGATTGCGGAGATTCGAAGTCCCTGTAACATATGAATTTTGATTAAGCTACTGATAAAGAACGTTATATTCATTACCCTTATAACCTTTTTAAGTCCCATTCTTATCGCGGGATCTTATAAGGTAAGGGAAAAGTTCTAGAGCGCGTAGTTATTAACTGTTAACAAAAATCGACCGTGAGAAATGATTCTGCAGGAGAGTGACACCGCATAAAATTTAATGCAGGCCATTATTAAAGCCGGTCAAGTTTTTATCGCTCATTCGAACTGATAAACCTGAATACCAAGTGACCGCCTGCTTAAGCAGATAAGCGGACCCGTGGGACCGTTACCAACTTGAAACATTCCTTGTGCTCTACATGCATGAGGCTCAAATAAGTACGTATATAAAATCTTTTTTTTCCATTTTCTATCTGAAATTTTTTTACTGATATTCCACCTTTTTACACTAGGTTGTTTTTGTGTCGATAAGATGATTGCTGGAACTATTTGTACGGATATGTTTAGTCAAGCAAAAAATTTTTTTCATTAAGAATGAAAAATAGGGCCTCTGACTATGCACGTTGTGAGACTCAACGAGCTCATAATTACCTTAGGTAGCCCAGTACTTAGGTGAAGGTGATCGCCTGGTCCACAAAAAATATGCAATCTATTTATCCTTTATAATATAGTTTTTTTATACTTATAATTATTGAGGGCATGATCGTTATTCTTCTACATGGGGTGTATGCAAGGAGAGGAAGGTTCAACAGACTTCCCGGGTTTTAAACCACCAGGCTACACCATGTAAATGATATGAATGTATCCACCTCACTCTTTGCTCTTATTACTTCTTTAGTAGTCATGTAAAAAATTTTATCTATAATTCTAGATGATAGAGCCTCTGACTTCGTATATTTATTTTCCATTATATTATTATAAAACACTGTTTAAAGGGCGTGATTGTCAAACTATTATTGTCTACGTAGCGAGGAGAGGAAGACCTGATGAGCTTTCTGTGGTTTAGTCCACTGAGCTATAGGATAAGAAATAGTTTGAAAGTATCCACCTTGAAATTTACATAAATACAAAACCTCGATTAAATTGCGAAAAAAAGTAAATATACTATAGCTGAGGTAATTAATATTAATATTCAGTCAAAAGATATTAAGTCTATCT